ATTGAGTTTCTAAAGGTTCTCTGAACCAGGAAAATTTAGGAATCTGTGAAATAATTAAAATTCTGAGAAATGAGCCATAAGTTCAGCAACAAAGAAGGTTTTTAAAATCTTAATGAAAGATGAGATAAATTTCAGTATTTGAAGCAGAATTAAGGCAGTGTTTTAACTTGTTTTCTGTTGCTGTGATAAACAAAAAACCACTGGCCTAAGGGCACTGGTGAAAGAAAAAACTTATTTCTTTGACTTTCATATCCCAAGTCATGATCCATTGAGGGAAGCCAAGGCAAGAACTCAGAGCAGGAACCTGGAAGCAGGAACTGAAGGAGATGCCATGAAAGAATGCTGCTTCCTTGCTTGCTCAGTTTTCACTAAGCAGGAGCAGCACCACCCGCAGTGGGCTGGACCCTCTCTCATCAATCATTAACTAAAGAAATGACCTACACACTTGCCTACAGACCAATCTGATGGAACCCTTTTCTCAGTTGGGATTCCCTTTTCCCAGGTGACTCCAGCTGATGTCAAGTTGACAAAACAAACAAAAAACCCCAATCAGTGTTAAGGTTGAAGGAGGTGAGAAGGGAGCCACTGCAGTGTGGGAATCACTTGTCTTTTTTCATTTGTTTTGCTTCTTTGTTTGCCTTGTGTTTTGTTTGGTGAGCCAAAGTCTCACTGTGTGCCCAGGCTGGTCTTGAATGACTGATTCTCTGTCTTCAAATTGCTGGGATTAAAGATATAAAGTATCATATGGATGCTCTTATCCTATTTAGAAATAGAACAAAAGGCAAGTAAAAGAGCAAGAGTTCATGGTTCCGGGAGGGTATATAGAAATGTGGTTTTGTACAGAGGGAGTTTATCCCATGCAGACAGGCAGTTCACAGAAAAGCATGGGGTGATTTTTTAAATCTGTCCACAGGTAGAGAAGACATGAAAGGAAGAAAAAAAATGCAATTTGGGCAAAAAAGACAAACCAAATTAAGGACCTATGATATGGTATATGATGTGTCAGGAATTGTGTGTATTTTCCCAGTGCTTTCCAAACCCCCCTGGTTACCGAGATGTGGACATTGAATTTGGGGTAAAGAAGAGAACACAAAGTTCCAAAGACCTTGAGATAGAGGCCAGACAAACGGAAATGACTTCTTTAATGGTGCCACGATCTTCCTCAATAATCTAGACAGGGCTTCTCAAATTCCAAGGTGCACATTTTGTCCTGAGAATCTTGAGGAAGTACAGAGCCTGAATTATTGGTCTAGGGGAGGGCCTGTGAGTTTTTCTTTCTAATGAGTATCCTTGCCCTGCCGGAGCTGCTGATCATAGGACACATGATAGCAAGATCAATTCAGATGAGTCATGAGCCAGACTTCTAGAACAGTGCCAAGACTCTAAGTAGATGCTTGATCAATACTTGTTGGGTTTGGACTGAAATGAATAGTTTCCCACACAGTGGAAGCGAATGAAGTGGGAATAAGATTGGGGACAACAAAAACCAAGTTCACAGGATCTGAGGACAAAAAGCCAGGGGAACCTTGCGGGACTTTGGTCTAGCCATGTTTAAGAACTTAACCCAAATTAAAGTAAATGTTAGAACTGAGTGGATGGAAAGCGTGGTCGTCTGTAGTTTTGTGGCTTTGTTGGCTGATTGCTAAAGTGCTAAGGGTGAGGAGAATAGATAGGAAGAAACAGAGCAGGTAAGCAGATAGACATAGCCTGAAAGTCCAGCTTTTCAAGGCCACCTGCAGGGTTTGAGGTTTGAGTCCACAGCAAAGTGAAACTGAACTTGAGAGATTTTTATCTTATGGGTATGGAATAAACTCTCACATATGTACTGTTATGGTCCTTATGTTTCTGTCCTCTAATTTTCTTCTAAGTTCCAGTTCTTTCTAGTTCTCCCTTGTTTTAATTCTTCCTCACTTCTCTGTTCACCGAGCTTAAATACATTTTTTACAGGAGGTTTAAGGCAATGAGGAAAAAAGTTGCAAGAATTGCATCTCATTGGTCATAGTATATTTCTTGTTCAAATGATAACGAGCTGAGCCATTTACCATGACAATGAAAGCTTTGAAAGTTTCTGGTGTGAGACTGTGATCCAAGGTTGGGGGCACAGAGCCAGGTGAGACAAGCTGTGATATGTAGGTTTTTATCAGTCAGATTTGGTAAACAAAGATTTGGCATGATTTTTTAGGTTGCTTTGTGTTAATAACCTTGGTTAGACATTTGCAACTCTGACCTTGTACATCTGTGTGAAGTTTTTAACTAATGATACATTTACAGAAACGTTCAGTCTAGTTTGAACTTGCTCTGAGGTGAAAATGAACTAATTGTGTGTAGCTTGTCTCAGATTGAGGAGAGATTGTTTTCCTGTGTTAGTCTGAGTAAAAGAAACAATGCAGGCTTTTAAGTGGTTTAAAGTCCCCATGGACTTAGTTATGAAGCATATTCTAGTATATTTTCTTTAGATCAAAATCATACAGTTTAATGAGAAGTCCTCTTCCTGACCACCCATGGATATATGTGCCCATAAGATTGAGACACAATCATGAAATTACATATACACATCACATGAGATTACAGACTACAATGCAGATATTGGGAGATACCATAGCTGCTTTAGTGAATGTGAAATTACAGACAGGAGCAACGGTTTCCAGAGTCGGTGGTTCCGTAGGTCTTTACTGGATGGGATTCTCTTCCATCAGAGAATCATTCCTCTGGTGGGTTTACATTTGAACACGAGCTGTCATCTGTTGCAACTCCCAAGGCCTCTGACATCTAGGATCATGTGAGTGACAGATGAAAACACAGAGAGGGGCGTGTGAGGCTGTCAAATGAGTGCCTGGAGATACTTCAGGGACTACCAAAGTAGCCACATTCCCCAAGGTGCTTATGAAGATACTCATTCTCAGGCCCAGCCATCAGATACCTCCAGTGCATAAGCCCAGGAACAAGATCTTGCAGTCAACATTCCTAAGAAGTCTCCCCAACTGAATCCAATGTAGCAAAGTGGGGAGTCTCTGAATAATTTCTGGGAAACGTTTAGGGCAAATGGAACAGGAGGAAGACACTCTAGGAGAAGGAAAAAAGTAGTGAGACAATGCTTTGTATGAATCCCGTGGGGGAAAATAGTATTTTACATCTGAACAATTTGATAAATGGCACCAAATGAAGCATGATTTCCTCAACTGTGGCAGCCATGCTGAGGCAGTCTCTTCTGAATGGTGAAATAGGCATTCTGTGGACCATATCCTCCTTGATAGCTCTTCAGATCTAACTGACCTCACGTATAAATGTTCTACCTTTCATGTTTATCATAAATGAACATTGATCTCTCTAAGCCTCTGAAATCAAGGCTGGGGTTACAGATGGGAATGGCCATGCCTGCCTTTTAATATGGGTACTGGAGATTAGAACATAGGTCCTTATGCTAACAGAGCAAGAGGTCTGCCTACTGAGTCCTGTGGGGGAGTGGTGTGTGTGTGTGTGTGTGTGTGTGTGTGTGTGTGTGTGTGTGTGTGTGTGTTTCTTCAAGACAGGGTTTCTCTTTGTAGCTCTGGCTGTTTTAGAACTCACTCTGTAGACTAATCTGGCCTTGAACTCAGAGATTTGCCTGCTTCTTCCTCCCAAGTGCTGGGCTTAAAGGAATGTGCTATCATTGCCCAGCTCAAGGGACTTTTAAAAACAACTTCTGAAACCACAATGGAGAACAACACCAGACAGAGGTAAATTCTCCAGATGGTGGAGGCTGTCTAAATTTATTTTACAGTTCTAAATATGATAATATGTTCTAGATATGATAAACAATCTGAATGATTTAAAGTACACAGAAGGGTATAGGACAATTACAACAAGTGTTACACCATTTAGCACAAGGCATCCATGGATTTGGATAAATGTCAGAGATTTCAAGACCAATCTTTCATGGATCTTGAGGAATGACTGACTTGTTATTTGATAGATGTTACTTATGTAAAACTAGTCAGTTAATCTTGCTCTGTATCTTTTGGGGAAGAAAATCTTTACCTTGGAAATAACAGTAGGGCCTCTGGAAGAAAGTCCATGCCATATACTTGATGCTGAAGTGAAAGGGTTTAGGTCTGTTGCTATAGTCACCTGAGATTCCACAGACTCTTAATGTGGAATGAAGAGTGAGGGTTGATTGATATGAAAATTTACTTCCCTGTAATTGACAAGCATTCATTGAGCATCTACTAAATGTCGAGAACCATGTGTAGAATTAAGAATACGAAAATACAGTTGTTTCTGTCTTGAATCTTGGTTTGATAAGAAAATGGATGTAAAACAATGCAGTTATTGCTCTGACACAACCCAAGCTTCAACAAGAACACAGAAAAGCATTCCTGGTCTTCTTTGTGTCTACTGAAGTTATCCCCCCTGACTCCACCAAGGACACTACATCATTTTCTGAAAAGGGTAACAGATGCCATCCTCAAAGCATGTCAACAAGATCAAAAGCTATAGCCAGAAAGGCGGAATTCTACACTGCTGATTATAACTTCCATTATAAACTACCAGAGATGAACGTAGCAATGACCTGGTTTATAACCAAGAAAATGTTGGTTCAGAAAAGGTATAGACCTTTGACCCCAATCATACCTTTAAAGCTTATTACCTCTACTTTATATCCCCAGTCTGTATATACAGAGTATAGGGAGGAAGCCTAGGCCCACATTGTTGGTTGAGTTTGCCCTGAGCCAAGCTGCAGGAACAGGAATGAAAATCTAGTGAATTCAATTCAATTAAAGGAGAAAATCAGGAGGATTTCCTATTAAAAAAAACAAACAAACAAAACCGCAAACAGATAATGTGATCCTTTAAAACCATGCCCTCACTGCCAACGTTAGACTGTGGTTACTCTCACAGCAGGTCAGTGTCCACTGTGGACTGTCTAACTCCTCATGCTAATGTTTGGGGTGGGAAGAACAGGGACTGGAACCTGGATCTGTGATCCTAGAAAACATCAAACTGTTTTTTTCTCTCCCCAGCTTATTCAGAAGTTGACAGATGTTGCCGAGGAGTGTCAGAACAACCAACTCAAGAAGCTCAAGGAGATCTGTGAGAAGTAAGCCTTCATCCCCTCCCCATTGGCCTGAATAGACATGAATGCATGAACTACAGATTGCATTGGGTTTGTCTGATTTTTCCCCCTATTGTAACTTCAGAGAGAAGAAGGAATTAAAGAAGAAAATGGATAAGAAGAGGCAGGAGAAGATAACGGAAGCCAAGTCCAAAGACAAAAGCCAGATGGAAGAGTGAGTGGAAAGTACCCCCTCCCTAACTAGAATGATGAACCTGCTACTGTTCTCTCAGAGAACAAGTGTCTTAGCCAAAGGCCCTTTAGTAAAACTTCTCTGCTAATTAATCTTCCACATGATCCCTGCCTTAGCTGGTGTAGGAGATTCATCTGTATTTGTCTTGCTTTCATTGGTTGAATAAAGAAACTGCCTTGGCCTTTTGATAGGGCAGTACTTAGATAAGATGGAAGGCAGAACTGAATGCTGGGAGGAGGAAGGCAGACAGAGAGAGCCGCCATGTAGTTGCCAGAGACAGACATGCTGAATCTTTCCTGGTAAGCCACGATCTCGTGGTGACAGATTATTAGAAATGGGCTGGATCAAGGTGTGAGAGTTAGCCAATAAGAGGCTAGAACTAATGGGCCAGGCAGTAATTTAATTAATACAATTTCTGTGTGGTTATTTGTAGTGATGGAGGGCTGGCTTGTTGGGGTTTCTGTCTCTCCCAGTACCCCAACAGCCAGCAAGCAACAAAGAAAATAACACTGAGTCTACATTAGGTTATAAACTGATTGGCTCATTAGGTCAGGCTACTTATTAGTTCTTATAACTTATGTTACCCCATTATCCTTATCTACGTTAGCACATGTTAGTACCTTTTTCAGTTGTCAGCTTACATGTTGCCTCTTCGGTGGTCTGCGCAGGAGTGACAGAGGAACCTCCCTGCTTCCCAGAATTCTCCTGTTCTCATTGTATCACCTCTACTTCCTGTCTGGTTTTCCCGCCTATACTGCCTGCCTGGCCAATCAGCATTTTATTAAAATACATGATTGACAGAATACAGATAATTCTCCTGCACCAGTTATTTTGGGTGTAAGCTAGCCGGGCAGGACGGAACAAAAGGACCTGCGCCTCCTTACTACGTTAGTAACTGTTCTACTGCTGTGAAGAGACTCCATGGCCAAGGCAACTCTTTTATAAGAGGAAGAATTGGGGGCTTGCTTACAGTTTCAGAGGGTTAGTCCAGTATCATCATAGCAGGAGTGTGGCGTCACTCAAGGTGATGGAGCAGCAGCTAAGAGCTATATCTTGATTGGCAAGTTGGCAAGAGAGAGAGGAGGTGAGGGAGAAGGGAGATGGAGAGGGAGACAGAGAAGGGGGAGAGAGAGAAAGACCCTCAAGCTTGAGCTTTTGAAACCTCAAAGCCCACACCCAGTGACACACTTCCTCCAACAAAGCCATATCTCCTAATCCTTCTAATCTTATGAAAGATTTTCATTCTCCAGTGACTAAGCCTATGGATGAACCTATGGGGGCCATTATCATTCAAACCTCTATAATTTTCATTGTCAGATTTTTTTCTTACAGTAAGCTCTCAAATAAGGGCACTCTGGGCCTTTTATTTATTTATTTTTTTAAAAAAAGGAAAATGGGAAAGTGATCTTGTTTGGGAAATTGCTAAATTCTCATTTCTCAAGTTGTTAAACAACCTTGGGAGCATCTAATAGAAATAGGGTCTATGCCTGGGGAGACACAGCGGGCGGGGGCCCCCCCCCCGCGGTCGGGTGGGGCCTTTCTTGCAACAGCTATACAATGACAGTGAAACCGTAGACGTCCCAGGAGGGTTGGTTTAATGATCTCTGGCTCATTTATATTTAGGGAGAAGACAGAGATGATCCGGTCATATATCCAGGAGGTGGTGCAGTACATCAAGAGGGTATGTCTGTTCACCCTGTCTCCTTTGCAAATGTCACAAGAACAGTCACCAGGCTCATTGTGAACTGCAGAGAGGAGAGCTGTGCCTCCTTGTGTCTACTCATCACCAGCATCCAGCTGCTTTGTGATAGTCCTTAAAAGCATGCATGCTCTGGTTATTGAGACTCATACATATAAAAGACCTAAATAAAAGGACTGTAAAAACGGATGGGGAGGAATCCCTACCCAAGTTGGGAACCCCCCAAAAAGTGATATGAAAAGACGTTCTCAAAAGGCCTTTCATTGTTACCTGTGATAAAGGTGTCATCCACATCTAGATCTGTACCTAAGCTTTTAGAAAGTTTGTGTGATGGAAATTTTCAGACATTTACAACAACATGTGTCTATCTGTCACCAAACTGCTCTGCCGTGGGTTTCCCTTACCTAGCTTCAGAGGGCAAGTCTTTCCCAAAAGACCAAATCATTGATACTATAGGCTTGAAAAACCTTGGTTTATTTTCTTATTGTTGTTGTTTTGTTTTGTTTCTTATAGCATGCATAAAGGCTTTATTGGTTTTTGTTTTGTTTTGTTTTTTGCTAGTTTCCTAATATGACTCTTTTCTTCTGGTAACTTTCTTATAGTTAGAGGAAGCACAAAGTAAAAGACAAGAAAAGCTTGTGGAGAAACACAAGGAGATCCGCCAGCAGATCCTAGAGGAGAAGCCCAAGGTAAATGGAGCTAAATAACCCTGAATGTCTATACTCACCTGGCTTGTTTGTTTTCTATTCAGGAAAAATAAAATCTCCTAGTATATGTAAGTACCTCACACAACTTCTCAGGTCTTCCTTGTGTGAGAAACTCCTCATTTCTTGTGATAGTAAAAATACAACAATATTCTGCAAGTATTTGCCATCAACTGGCACCGTCTAAATAATATGAGTGTGCAGAACCCTCTCCATAGCGTTTGGTTTCAGGTAGTCTGATATGTGGCTCGGGCAAAGGTATTTTTCCTCTGACCAACCAACTTCATCGTGTGATGCTGTAACATCAGACTCTGCCCAGCAGAGGACACCCTTCACTAAGATCACCCTGATCTTGACTCAACAAAATCTTCCATAAACCAGGAAACAAAAAAAAAAGAAAGAAAGAAAGAGAGAAGGAAAGACATTTCTTTGACCATCCCCCGCCCCTCCATAGCAACAGCTCATCAGTGCAGTCCTTTAAATTTTTATTATAGCTTAGAGTGTAGCTCAGTGGTACTGAGAGTGCTCGGCATGCATGAGGGCCTGGGTTCAATTCAAAACAATAAATCAGAGCAGGTTGTGCTTGCAGCTTATTGAAATTAGTTGTCTATGGACATCAACTTGAATGGACTATCTGTAAATCAAGTTTTTGCGGGTTAGTCAGCAGTATTCAGGTCTAGAATATACTGTCCATTTTCATTACTGGTGAAAGTTTTTCTCTTTTTTTTTTTTAAAAAAAGAATGTGCCTTTTAGGTTCCCCCCCTTTTAAGCTAGAGTTAAAAATCCAACTTCTCGAAAGTACTGTCATTCCACCTAATTGAGTCTGCAAAGCTCAAGTGTTAGGTTTATTTATTTGTGTGTATTATTCCGTGGTTGGCTTCAGCGAGATTACTCATGGCTAAATCTAAATATATTCTCAGAGTTATTTATGTTCTGTAGCCTTCATGTTTATTGAATATGATAGTCACTTGATAGTTGTTATTTCTAAAGATTTCAGGCTTAGCCGTATAAATCCTCAAGCAAGAATTGATAGCTACTTTGTATATTGTTAATTCTTAGGTTTCCCCTGTAAATACACAATTCAGGAAAGCTTGGCCAGCTGCTCAGGCTGTTGATGCTAATACAGTGGGGTACAGTTTACATAACTTGAGCGATTGCCTCATAGAAGTCTCCCTTTGGACTTCTCGTCTCCTTTTCCTTGGGTTGTCCACAGTCATTCATGGTCTAAAAATATTAAAGTGGGAAACTCATGGAGTGAACAGAGCATGACGACTTGACATTGCCCAACTTTCTCAACAGCTGATGACCCCTCAAAGCCCTGGTTCAGCCCCTCTGGTGGAGCACTGTTCCTCTGTCCACAGGCCACACAGCAGTCCTCTCCGAGGCCAGATTCACTGTCTGCTGTCACAGTGTTTGTGCCCCTTTTTCCTTAGAAATGGCCCCGAAAGCACAAGAGTAATGAGGCTGAGTCTTCCCTGAGCTGAGGACATTAGGTGTCAGATTAAGGTTGGCATTTTGGCACTTTGGGGTATATTGGGGGAGGGGGCCCTGTATTTTCTTTTCAGAATCTGTCTTACTTAAGTGCTCAAGTACTTCAAGTAGCAGATCGAGATTTGACTAAAATTTAAGAAAAATATGAATTAGTCAGACACAAACATTTTCAAGGTCAGCTTCTAAGGATGGATTTGTCATCTCTGTATCCTGGTCTGATGAAATGCGTTTAGAGTGAGTTTCACAACCAGTTTTAGACCTCTAAGAGCCCTTCTGACAGCTGCTGTTCCTCTCAGTTTTGTTTTACCTTTGAGTGTGTGTGTTGGTTCAAGACTGTAAAATATTTCAGTCAGAGATAAAATGCAATGCATGTCTGTTAAAATTATACAATTTAAGTATTTCATAGATATCATATGTATGTCCATTTATGCGTGTGTAGGTGCCCATGTGCATGTGAGGGCCAGAGGATAATTCCTTAGATGCTATCCATGTTTATTGTTTGAGACAGGGTCTCATACCAGCCTGAAACTTGCCAGGTAAGCTAGGCTGGCTGGGTAGGGACCCATTTGCCTCTCTGATGCTGAGATGTCAAGAACATGACGGCGGCATGCATAGATTTGTTTTGTGTGTGCAAGTTGTACATATTCAACTCATGTCTTCATGTTTATAACGCAACTACATTACTGACTGAGCTCTCTCCATAGCCCTCATTGTGTGTGTGTGTGTGTGTGTGTGTGTGTGTGTGTGTGTGTGTGTTTCAGTGCTGGGAGTGTGGACACATAGCACCACATGTGTGACTGTTCTAGTCATCATGATTAAAATCAAATTAAGTAAGGGACTACTAAAGCACCTTAAATCTTCTTCACTGGATATAACCAAACATTAAAACAGCTAATAACCTTTGTCAATTTAGCTTTCCGAGTACAATTTTACAGAAAATCAAATTAAACCTGCTGGGCGTGCTCACATGCGTATATAATCCCATTAACTTGGGGGCTGGAGACAGGAGGATGGGGAGATCACGGCTCACCTGGGCGATATAGTGAGACCACATTTTTAGCTAAGCAAGTAAATAAATAATGAACATAAACAGTACCAGCTTGATAATTGACTCTGTTACTATTTGAGCGGTGTCACTATTCTAAGATGGGGGACAGTTCTAGGAACACTGTAGATACTATATTAGCTAATTTTCTGATGTGATAAAACACCATGAACAAAAACAATTTACAGAAGAATTTATTTTGGCTTACCATTTCAGAGAGACAGAGAGAGGGAGAGAGCACACATAATGGCAAAAGAGACAGGGAAGCATGTGGCTGAAACAGGAAGCTGACTGAGTCTATCTTCACCCACAGGCAGGAAGCAGAGAAAGAGAGAACAGGAAGTAGGTTGGGGCTTTAAGCCCTCGGAGGTTTCTCCCAGTGAGGTCCTTCCACCAGCAAGGCTCTTTCTCCTAAAAATTCCATAGTCTACCTAAACAGTGTTACCAGTTGGGGAACAAGTGTTCAAATTCATGATTCTGTGGGGGACACTCCTCATTCAATCTGCAATAAGTGGCTCTGGGCATGGGTAGCCATTTCTAGGGAGAGCTGGCCGCTTCTAGGGATGGGTAGCCAGTTCTAGAGACAGGCGGCTAGTTTAGTGGCTCAGCAAACTCTGAGAGCCGGGAGTTTTAGAATTTCAGCGTGGATGCTTGCTGTCCTCAGGTTATAAAGTCAACGACAAGCTGGCTGCTAAGGCTCCTGCATCATCCTCTTATGTAGAACCATTCAAAAGAGAGAGCTTGAGTGTGGAGCTTCATTAAAAGGGAGGGGAGAGAGAATGATGAGGGACAGAGAGACAGAGAGGGAGGGAGGAGAGGTGAGGCGAGGAAAGGCGAGGGGAGGGGAGGGGAGAGCAGAGGCTGAGACCAATTTGCCTAGGATAGAAGAGAGAAATCAGGAGTGGGAGAGTTTGTCTCTTGTTTTTGATTTTGTTTTTGATTTTTTTTTTTCTAGACTAGGTTTCTCTGTAGCTTTGGAGTCTATCCTGGAACTAGCTCTTGTAGATCAGTCTGGCCCTGAACTTATAGATGTCTGCCTGTCTCTGCCTCCTGAGTGCTGGGATTAAAGGCATGCCCCACCACCACCCGGCTGGAGCTTGTCTCTTAAAGGGACCTTTGCACACTGTGTACAGTGGAACTTATTGCCATAAGCCGAGAGGTGACTGTTCCCAAGGGGCAGGGCCAAGGTGTGCCCGGATACTAACGGAGGGAGTTCAGCTTCTTGGTGCTATGGTCACCAGAAGCCTACACACAATTGAAGCTTTCCTCATCGAATACTGAATACACAGTAATCAGGGCTTTGTGTTACAGCTATGTACTTAGAGGCTTTCGTTTCTTCTTCCTTGGCTTCTTCAAAAAGATCTAAAGTGTTCCTAGGAATTCTTAGTCATTCCCTTGTCTTTCTTTCCTACTGTAACTGGGAGCCAAGCTAAACTTGCTCCTTTGTCTGTGATGCTCTTCTTGGGGCCATCGTGTTGTGAGTGGATTTGAAGGCAGCCTTTGAAGGTTGTTGGTTCCATGTCAAGCCAAATCATTTACTTAAGGGTGTCCTTTGAAGCTTAAGAGTGTGTTTTCAAAGTCATTATTTCGATAATAAAATGAGAAATCGCATGTCAAGTCAGCCATGGTAGCTCACATCTATAATCCTAGCACTTGGCAGGAGGAGGCAGGAGGATCAGGAGGTTTTCTAGGTCACCCTTGGCTACAAGCCATCTATGTAAGACACCGTCTCCATCAAAACAATACAAAAAAAATCATGTCAACTCATAAGATATAAAGCAAATGAAAGAAAATGATAACAAAGGCAGGAGGAACATTAATCAGCCTTCCGCCTCTGCGACCCAATGCCTGAAATCATCAACTCAACAGGGGAAGAGGTTTATGTTGGCTCACAAGCTCAGAGGTTTTATATTCACACTGTCTAACCCTGTTGCATTGGGCCTATAGTAGCACACCAGGTCATGGAGATAGAACATGGTAGAGGAATTGTGTTTATGCTTAGCAGCAAAAGCTGAAACATAGATAAGAGACCAAAATCTCAATGTTTCTTTCAAGGGCAAATTCTCAGTGAGCTCATCTCTTCCCAATAGATGCACTTAAAAAAAAATGAGACAAGCTCATTATACAGCCTAGTGACAGTAGTCCTCCTGCCTCAGCTTCCTCATTACTGACTATAGGTGTATAAGGTACCATGCTCAGTCCTACATCACTTCTTAAAGGTTCTACCAATTTCTTGGAGCACTTGAGCCATAGACCGAGCTTTTATTCATGGGCATCTGGAGACACTCCTGATCCAGACTTGCAAACAGCAGTAATGAGCAATAGAGATCAAATGTGAGCTGGGAACTGAAGCCCAGAACAGCAATGGTAGGTTAGGAGAGACCAGGGTTCCTGAGCAGACCTCGAATCTCTGTGACTGTGGGATGTGGACCAGAAATAGAAGAGTAC